AGAACATTACAAGAAAAATTGACCAAAGATCTAATATCATGGCTCAAAATGTATACGAACATCTTTGATGAATCCAGTAGATGCTCCGACAAAGCCTCAATTAGAGAGTGTCCAAACTATATAGGTCAAGCAAATATAAGAAAATTGCAGGATTCCAAGTTTTGTGAGTGTGAAAACCTAACCTGATTGTAATCACTTTGAGATATGATAGGATTTAAATGAAGAATAATTGCTTACCGCCAATTGGCTTCTCAAAGAAGTCGCCAGCCTTATCCTTTAGCAACATGCCAAGAGTACCAAGACTAGCGGTAATCTTAGCAATATCATCTTGATTGATTTGTTGGTGGTTGCCTTGCTGGACTGAAATAATGGAATCCAATTTTCCTTTTCTAACACTTTGACTTCTTGCACTTTGATTTCTTTGATGTAATTTTTCAAAAATGAAATATATAGTATGTTTGAAAGTTGGAAAACTTTGAGACTGACTGAAAATATATCAGGATAAATTTATGGATAACAGCTCTTACGGAAGCCTCCTATCCACTCACCTTTCTCAGTTCCTGACTGTGGCTCATTGATAGCGTTGCCCAAATCTTTAGCCACATTCATAAGACCGCTGAGGAAATCGCCGCCACCTAAACAAATCACAGAATTAGTCCGAAAAACTGGATCACTAATTATTCACATGCTACTATAGACAAACTTTTCTGTAGTGCAGAAATAAAATGCTTTTTGTTTGCAATTTCTATTTGGTCATGCATTATTCTCCTTTATTTCATTGATCGCTTTTCAAGCAAAAGTTTCAAAAATTATGTTTTTAGTTGCTAATTGTTGAAACTGAGTTTGCTTTCATTTGGTACTGTAACTCTGGGATCCCTTATAGGGAAGAGAAGCAAGATGAGTTGAGTTCGAAGATGATCGAAATTACCTCCAGCTGAAGCCTGTGCACCCTGTTCAGTTCCAGATTTTGCTGCTGAGTCTGCAATGGAAACTGTGTAAAATGGGAGAAAAATAGTAGTGAAAGATCAAGTCTCAAATAAATTCCGTAAGTAACATTTTTTTCTCACACGACTTAAT